AAGAATATAGTAAGACTAATTATGTTTCTGAAATTTAATAAACCCTTTTAATGCGATTTTCGGTATATTGCAACTCATTGATTTAGTTTTATGCAGTTTTAAAAAATTATGGAACGTATCCTTTATTTTTATACGTGTGTCTAGTCCTTTTTTGTGCGATTTATTTTTATTCGTTTTCCTGTGGAACGTATATACACCTTCAGATTAGGTTTCGATTTGTGAGTGACGCGATAGAGATGTAATGAATAGGAAGCAGAATCGCGGAAGTAATTAGTAAATCATATAGCAACATCGAAACCCAATTAGCCTCAATCAGAAGTAGAGTGAGAGGTTCGTGGAAAGATCGATGTGGATGGATTGGCGGGTGGATTCGGAGTGGGTGAGGTTAGGTCAGGTCGTCGTTACTCACCTATCCAAGTCGGACGGCTTGAAATCACCTTTCCCTGCGGACAAAGAAAGAAAAAGAAAACGAAAAGCGTGAGATAAAGATGCGAAGTGATGCATTTCACTGGAAGTCCGGAATTAGATTACTTACGTGCAAAACAGCATTTCTCCGAGCGGACGGCGTAAATGAAGATGCAGAGGAGTATCACGAAAGCGGCCACCGAACATCCGGCCAATGTCACCAGAGTGCTCATCTGAAGAGGCTCTGAAATACAATTTAGAAAATACACGAAATAATAAATAAATAAATCTCAATATATTTATCATTAATTACAAGTAAAACTATCAATTTTGAGTTGAAAATGAAACGATATTCGGTAATATTTTATCTATTATTTTCACTTTGAAAGTATAGTATTGGGGTATAGTAAAAGCTAGAAGAGAATAATGGTTGGAAAAATAGCACGGTCAACGTTATTTAATAGTGAAAGGAAAATAGCAAGGGAGCATTGCCGAGACTCTGAAACGTTCTCCGTTAAGTTAATTTGGAAGACAGTGCATCACGATTTGTAAATATTTAAAGAATAATATGTTCCGGATGTCGTTCGGATTAAAGTGGCTCTGAGCGGAATGCGATAACGGCGAGCCTTTTATCTGCAGGTTACGTGACCGGCTCCGCTCTTCGGGGCTTTCGGGATAGAGAAAGTAGGATGAGGGAGGTGGACTAAGTCGATAAAGCAATCGCGATATGGTCCGGTCTTCTTAAGACACTCCTCCTAAATAAATATGGATCTTTTCGGATGTAATAACGCGTATTTCTTTCCTGTTTTTTTTTCTCTCTCTTAATATTGTTGTTGATTTCTTTGAAGTTGACGCTTCTTCTGTGGAAAAAGTGTGACGGAGAGAGTGAAGAGAAGGATTTCGCTTACCGTTCACGTATAATTTGACGGCGTGTCTGTCCGTACCTCTGTCATTCTCGACAGCCAAATAGTACGCCCTCGAATCCGTCGACTCTGCTTCTCTGATCTTCAACGTCGCAAGATAACAATCCTCTCGCTCCTCCTGCATCACCTCGTCGACACTGTAACGTCCTGAAACCGAATAACAAAATATAAATATTTTCTTTCAAACATTCAATACACCTAAAAAATAAATCATCCTTTAACTCAATGATTCCTAAACTGTTCCCAAACCACAAATCACTATTAACATTGACTTGGGGTGCTTCGAAAAAGTTTGGGAATCGCTGCTTTAGCTTATTTCGCAAGTTCCTTATATTTAAAAAAAGAAAAGAAAAAGTAGTGAGCTTAATGAATCGATCAAGCAATTTCCAAGATGTCATTCGTGGATTTCAGGCAGCAAGCTTTTTAATCTGGACAAGTTAATTAAAAACCTCCGCTCGGCTCGTTTTAACTTTGCATTTTGTTTTGCGCTTATTTCCGTTTCGTTTTTCCTCCCCGTAATTTTCCTGTTTGTTTATGTTTTTTTCTCTCTACTCTTTCTTTCGGTAAACTTAATGAAGTTCGAGTTGATAAAGCCGCTTCTCGGCGCGGGAATTTATGTAACGCTGAATTTCGGCGGTGCTGAAAAATGCAGTCTGCAGAGGCGCTGTGTTGCGTTCCCACAGCTCTTCGGTGGGGAATTTTACGAGGCACGAATATTTGCGTCGAAAATTTAATTTATATTATAAGGACCGAAAACCGCAAACCGTCAACAAAAAACAATGCAATTTTTGGAATTTTCGTAAACGAATTAGTGGAAACGTATTAATATCACTTGGGTATATTAATGACGTAATAAATGGTGGATCTGTTCATTTTTTTTTGCTAATTATGATATGCACTCGAACTTTTGCAGAGTGTATATCCGGAGGAAAACATAACTCATCCGAAAAGTGGAACAGAATACTGGAATAAGTCTTATATAAAGTTATCGAACTCTTGAAATATAGACGCGTTTAAGTGTGTTTGTGGTCAAGTTGTAAAAGCGTGTGTTGGATTACGGTCCATTTCCGTCGTTGCCAACTCGAAAGACACCAATATGTATCCACGGTATACATGTGTATGTGTGTTCATGTCTTTCTTCCCTTCTTTATAACTTTATTTCCGTCCTCTTATCTGTTCCCAGTTTCATTTTAAAACGATATACTCGCCTATAGTGAAGTTGGCTATCAAAGGGAGATACAAAAATAATAACTGCAGCACCTAAACCTATATATTTATATATACTTATGTGTAAGATTAGGAATGAGTTTGGAACAAAGGAAGGAAGACCAAAAAAAAAAGAGGAGTCTGCGTCTGGATTACCCGCAGCGTTTAGATAAGACTTTATATTGGTCTGTAACTTATGTTCATCCGGCGGATAGTTTGCATTTTATTCACCGACTTAATCCCAGAACGATTACATTTTAAAACCGCTCGGAAAGGGATGCGGAAGGAGCGGAGACAGCGCGGACCTCCGGAGGGCAATTCAGCAAGGCCGAACACGCCCGGCATCCTTCTTCCCTTCAATCTCCATTTAAAAGGGAAAAGGGATATTAAAACGGGAAACGCAAACGTACCAAGAAAAACAGAATAAAATCAAGTGAAGGAAGGATAGGGAAGAAAGATATAAAAAAATAAATAGATGCTGGAAGAAAGCGGAAAACAGTTCAATTAGTTAAAAGTGATTACGAGCATCCATCCACCAATTACTACCATCCTCTTACGATGCAATTAAAAAAAATGCATGTTTATTACATCCACAATTTGTTAAGATCAGAATCATCTTTTTGCATCAATATTCTTAGCAAACTTTTTTATAAATTTTCAATGAAAACAATGAATGTAATCTTTCTTAAAACTATAAAGTAATTGCATTAAAATTATGTAAATGATCGATAAATAAATGTTGGATGCGCCAGGTAAAAAGGAATGTAAATGATGTGAGGTTTTAATTAGGAAATAATTAATATAAGTATTCAGATGGATTTCGATAAAATGTAAGTGTTATTTTCTTTTACCGCCGTATTTGGGATTATTACGAAAAACAGAAAAACAGAATAAAATCAAGTGAAGGAAGGATAGGGAAGAAAGATATAAAAAAATAAATAGATGCTGGAAGAAAGCGGAAAACAGTTCAATTAGTTAAAAGTGATTACGAGCATCCATCCACCAATTACTACCATCCTCTTACGATGCAATTAAAAAAATGCATGTTTATTACATCCACAATTTGTTAAGATCAGAATCATATTTTTGCATCAATATTCTTAGCAAACTTTTTTATAAATTTTCAATGAAACAATGAATGTAATCTTTCTTAAAACTATAAAGTAATTGCATTAAAATTATGTAAATGATCGATAAATAAATGTTGGATGCGCCAGGTAAAAAGGAATGTAAATGATGTGAGGTTTTAATTATGAAATAATTAATATAAGTATTCAGATGGATTTCGATAAAATGTAAGTGTTATTTTCTTTTACCGCCGTATTTGGGATTATTACGGTGAAAGTTTGGTAACTTTAACAGCGGCCATCCAATTTAATTTTCGCAATTCGCCGAGTGCGAGACTCGTTAGGGCGGGATCCTCCTGTCGACTAAATAACAACAAAACTGGATGATTCGCGCACTCACACCTCGCTTTCTAACTAATTAAGTCGTGGATGAGGGCGGTTAAGGGTTCAAATTTAAAGCGACGACAGGAGGAGGATGGACGATAAGGAGGCAGGCAACGTTCCTGCTGCGTTGATGATCTTAATAAAAGTTCGCTCAAGGATGGAGGATAAAAAGTGGTTTAAGGATAGGATGGGGACGGCGTTAATTATTAAATAATAATTAATTTCGTACCCATTTCGGAGCCGGCCTCGAGCCTCAAAGAGCCCCACTCCCATGCGACGACCCTCGGACGAGGATCAGCGCACACCACCAAACTTATTTCTGCGTCCTGACCCTTCTGAACCACAACCTCCGGCGTAGTCGAATGCCTCAGAACTTGCGGTGCTCCTGCGAAAACCCAAAACCAAACTTATTGTAATCACCAACACTGTTACTAACATTATTATTATTCTAAAAAATAAAAAAAAACAAACAAAAAATAACATTCACAACTTTAATCTAATTGATTGATGTCAATAATAATGAAATTATTTAGTAATAAGTATTGTATTTACCGACGACTTGAAGAGCGATCGCCTCGCTCTGGATGGTGCGTTCGGTGCCGCCAATGATGTTGGTCACCTTGCAGACGTATTCTCCTTGGTAATCGTAGGTGACGTTGGGAATGTGCAGCTTCGCCTCTCGTCCTCTCTCCAGGATAACGTTCGAAGGTGTCGGAAGTCTCTGAAGCCATTGGTAAGTTGGTTGGGGATTGCCTTCAGCCACGCACTCAAAACTCGCCGAAGAGAAGAGCAGAGCCGTAGTCAGCCTATCCGGACCGACGGACAAAATCTTAGGAGGATCTGCAAATCATAATTAACAGCAACATTTAAGAAATTATCTCAATTTTAAACAAAAGCTAAGTGAAGAATGTAGATTAAAATAAATTATGCATATTTCATGCTGAAATTATCAGTTCTTATTGGATTTCCATTGACGTTAGTTATGATTGAATTGATCATTACAGTCCGATAATTATTGGCAATTAGGGAGAGCGCATACACACGTATCCAGCTGATCGTGATTGATCGCTCGTTATTTGTGTGTGGGCGAGTATAAATATGATTTATCGGCACGTGATTTATCCCATGCGACCATACTAAATCTTCCGGAAAGTGTTAAGATCGCAAGCGATTACAACTTCCATCCTAAACCAACAGCCAGAAGTATATATGTGTGTGTTCCTCTCTCTGAATGCGTAGGATAGAGAGAGAGAGATGAATGCGGAGATAGAGAAGGCCAGTTATCAAATTAGGAGACGCCCCATCCTTAATTAACGAACAAATTACATCCGAACTACACAGATTCTCGGGCACTAATCTGGCCCAGCAGCGCCCAAGCGTTAATTTATATAAGATTATGCAAAACCCTTTTAAACGCCTGTTTATCACGTCACCGGATTTAATTGAAACTTCGGCACTCTCCATCAATTTCGATAATTGAGCCCCAATACTGCCCTCCCTTTTTTTTTTACGACCACGTTATCATCATCATCATCGTGATCATCGTCACGCACCATTACTCGATTTACGTCCTCCGAAAATAAAAATAAAACACGAAATTTTAATCAAATTAGTAAATTTAACAACGGTGTGTTGATATATCAGTTGTGCCATAAAAACGTAATTAGTCCGAATGAAACAGCAAATTACAATAGCCGCGCGCGCTCAATCTATTCCCTGTAGATTTGGCTGTAACATGCATATATACAACATTCAATTTGTCGCTACTAGTTTATGAATGTAAATCAAATAACTAAACTAAAATAAGCAAATAGATTGTATCATTTTCTGCTAAATGTATATTTTTAAAATTAAACTTTAAAATTCTTTAACATCGAATTACACCGTAATTGCGTCACTAATGGAACTGCACTCACTTTATATTCTATAGCTTCAACATGAAATATTCAATTTCACTAATTTTCATAAAATATTATTATATAAAATTTATGAATTCTTCTATAGTATTAACAATAGTTTTATTAATTATTTCATTTTTTTTTTTTTCGAAGAACATATTTAAATGAGATTGGATAAAAAGTATACTCTTATCCAATTATTTTTAAGCTGCGGAAGCCTGATGGAGTTGAAAACTGTTGCGCGCTTACACTTTTAACTCGTTTCCTCTTTCTTTCCTCTAATTTTCCATCTATTCTATTCACGAGATGGGATTCTCTTTTTCTCGATAAATAAAAGTGCATTTCAGATGAACGAGCGAACGGAAGTTTCCAGCCGCAGGGATTTATAACGATGTTATGTAATTATCGTTCGCTCCGTTGATGGAAGGAGTAGGATGGAAGTGAGGAGTCGGAAATAAGCATTCAGTTCAAGCAAAAGATGATAACAGCAATTCATCCCAGTTACTAATAGTTTCCATATAACTAAACTCAATTTAGTACAAAGTAGTAAGAAAAAAATCAATTTAAACTCACTAATAGTTGTTTTATTGCAAATGTTATATGTACGTTTTTTATTGGTTGAATAACACGTGAAATATTTCGCGCCGTATTTAACTGTAACAAGTTTAAATTTGATGGCGTTTCTCTTAAAGTACATAAGGAGCGCTACAATGTGTTCGGGTGTCTTACTTTAATGCCGCATTATCCTAGTTTATGTTCCCATTTTTATTTAATATGTGGTCCAAATGGTCTTCGAGAAATACGCGAACATCTGCAGTCAGAGCAGCTGAAATATTGTTTTTCAGTTATTACAAATCCACTACATAACATTTTTCAGCTCTTCATAACATGTTTTCTTTTACTATATATTATTATACTGATGTTGTTTACAATTTATTTAAAAAAATATGGAGATTAATTTTTTTACTTGAAATTCTTTGCAAACAGAGGAAATGCACAGTTTACAGCGATTATCTCATTTTAGAGGCTATTTATCCAGGTTTATTCGCTATAAACAACTTTTTACTAGAGTTTTATGCTTGTTTCAAGTTATGGGAATATTTCCGTTTCTATTTTGTTTGGTTGTACGGTAATTTTTGTTGCGTTGGGAAAACTCGAAGGTTGGAAGGAGTGCGGTTAATAGTCTCCTTCTTTGGAGGAAATCGAGTAGAACGGAAGTAATTTTTAATCGAAATGCAGGTCGCTCTGTGAGCAGCGGTAATAAATATTGCACGAAGAAGGGATTAAATAGTTCATTAGCTGCGAGGAATCTATTATTAAGCTATTGCAGGGTAATAAGTCAAGCGGATGGGCGAGCTTTTGGTGTAGGTCTTGGTGATGTGCGGGTGGGGTATGTCTGGTTTCTTATTTCGGACGTTGAGGCATGTGTAATGGATGAAAAAGGAGCACGCGATGCGAACCGGTGGAACAATAAATATGCAGTACATCCTGGGCTTGAGAAACAGGAATGCCCGCATCGCGCTATGCGCTTCTACACTGAGGTCCTTGCATTTGCATATCGTGTGTACTTTGCAACAAGGTGGCGTAAGTCATCCTGTGAGAGGGTGGTTGTGTTGTGGAAGGCCTCCGGGCAGAACGAGAAGGGGGATGATCGTTAAAACAAGAAAGTGGTGGAAGTGCATCAGACCTACCAACACCAGGCATCCCTGTTCTCACTCTCATCAACTACTACCGAACGTGAACCAACCTACACCGTCGTCTGCAGCCCGTATTGTGTTTCCCTATTAACCTAATGGATAGTAAAGATTGCAAATGATGCAAACTGCCGTCGTCGTCGCCGTCTTTGTCGTCTACTCGGATAGCTCGACACAGCCTCATTCCGTCCGGAACTGCTGGCACCAAATTTACTGGATCATCGCCGAGGATCAGATTATCCCTCACCCATACAGAACATACTTAATATGGTCATTGTTTTAACCTTTTTGTTGCTCCAAAACCAATTCAATAGTTCAAAATTATACAAATGCAAAACCAAACAATTTTTACAAAATATTACCTATTCACTTCATAATCTTAACGTTTATTTTGGAACGGATTGAGTATATATAATAAATTCAAATTATAAAATGCATATTACACATGGATTTATATGGCAATATTCGAGTGGGTAAAATGGAAAGTTGGCTTAGAGAGAGGGAGATAGAAAATTAATTAGCAAGCGACTGCGGAAATGCCACTTACGTAATTAATAATTCCCGTAATGTGCGACGGAGCTGTGAGGGGTTTTGATGGTCCTCGCAGCTTCGATTATTAAAACACACCTGGTCGAATATATATGTGTGTGTGTGTATGTTTGAAGAGCAACAATTCCAAGTAGTTTGGGGATGAGTCTTAATTAATCCATTAGAACGGGATGATGGCAACGGGATTCGGCTTTAACGGCCAAACTTGCAAAAATATCCAAGTCCAATTACCGAGAATACGTGCACCTGCTGCTGCTGCTGATGATATTAAAGTCACGCACTTCCGGTTTTCGGAAGAAACATAATTCGAAAATTGATTTTCTTTATATCAAAAAGATGAAATGTTCAATATTTTTTTAGAAATTCAAAAATAAATTATTTGATTGAACTAGGTTTTGATGTAAAAATAAGTTAGTTCTTTAGTTTGTGTTTATTTAAAATGTTATATGTTGTGTAGTTCGTTATTATAACTGGCAATTAAAGTATTGTTTTCTCGTTTGACCGTAATGCAAAATTGTTGTTTGCACGAAAGGTAATTTAATATATTTTCGCGATATGCAAATCCCGTGTTAGCGTCGTCGTCGTCGTCGAGTAAAAGCGGAGCAGAACAGCAAAACCGAAGGAAAACAGAGGGATGGAAATATGTTTGTTGAATGAGACAGAAAGGGAGACAAACAAATGAAATGTGTGTTCTGCAGGAAATGCATTTCATCCTTTTCGTTTTGTCTGCGTGTGTTCATAAATGCAAACTCTTTCATTTTTTTCCCCCAATCTTTTTGTTTTATTATTTTTGTCTCTTTCTCTCTCTGCGTCGGTGTGTTCAGTTTCTCTGTTCATCTCTCCTCTCTAAATTTAATTTAAAATCTCATCAGTTGGTCCCATACTACAACTCTCTCTCTATCTCTCTCTTTCTCTCAGCTTCTACATTTGAATATTGTAATTGGAAACTAAAATTTTAATTTTAATATTCATTAATATTATTTTCGAGCTGAATAAAAGGACATCAGCGTCCGCAAAGCTCGCTTTTGCGAATGCAAAAGGCGCACCTTTTCTTTTTTTTCACTGTTATTATTATTATGATTATTTCGTTACGACCTTCTGGATAAATATTTACCCGTGCATAAATATAAATTGGAGGACGGTCTTGGAATTTTCCATTCACCTTTTCGACGATCACAATAAATAATTGATGGTGGTCGCACAGCGGAGTTGAACTGTGCAGAGAAAGGTTTTGAATTGGTATTTGGAGGTGGTCGGAAGGTGCAATTCGCTTTAAGGATTACGGTTTGATTAGGTCAACGTGCAAAATCAATGTTTGGTTTACGGTCGTGTAGATAATGTAGTGTGCTTAACGCGGCCTTAATCTAACGATGTTTGGCGGGGCGGGGACTTTGATAAACTCCCTGCGGCCCCTTAAAATTTATCATCCTCTCCCTTCGTGTCCCTTTATATCTCTCTCTCTCTCTCTTGTACTCTATTTCATCCCTAAATCTCTCTCTCTCTCTATATATTATCCCATGGCAACAGCCGAAAAACAATTATGCAATACCCCAGCCGCAATTACACGGTTTATACTTATGGCCTCCTCCTACTCTTCCTCTCCATGCGCAATTCATTAGCAGTTATCCTCGAACCGATCGCCCATCAACATCAAAATACACATATACCAATACAGAGAGAGTTGCATTGATTGCGTATTAACTTGATTCCAGTTTTAATAGACATACCTTCCTCCCGATGCAACACTATCTGTAATCCGACCGTAATCCGCATTAATTACTGCTCCGTGATTACTCACAAAATTGATGGCCAAATATTCAATCGAATTTAACATTTCAAATCATTACTCATAAAATAAAAATTAGTTACATTCATTTATATGTAATCAATTTTATCACTTTTCAATTGACTGGAAATTTTCAATTTCTAACTGAATATTGTTGATATATGTTTTGCTTGGATGTGGAAATCTGGGGAATCTATTTCCATGTTTATTTAATTTTCAGAGGAAATGGCACGTGACCGGAAACGCGGGAAATCGGATTTAGTTCGCGAAAATTCGATGGACTTGGTTGGCGTTATTGCATCGCCTTCGTTAATGATGGTTCAGAGAGATGGGAGCGAGTCTTCCGTGCTGCGGAAGGGAAGAAAGTTGGACGGATGATATTGCGATAGGAGCGTTAGGGTTCGCCCACCCGTCGCCTGCTGCCCGACTGCTTCCTGCAGCCCTGAGTGATCTATTTGTAATTGGTTTCCGGTCTCTTGGAGAACGGAAGAAGGAGAGGAAACGCGGCAAGCAGCGGTAACAGCAAATCGAAACTTACACTTGACGTCGACGTGCACCCTCACGGGTTGCGATTCCCCAGCCTTATTCCTTGCGTGACAGGTGTAGAGTCCGGCGTACTGTCTCACAGCAGGGCTGAACTGCAGGAGCTCCTGCAGACTGGCCGGCTGGTTCTGTCCTTCGCGTTTCCACACTACAGCAGCCCTAGGGTTCGCGCTCACCACGCATCGAATAGCCACAGAATCCTTCAGCTCCTCCACGTCCGTCGTCGGAATGCCGACCAACCTCGTCTCCGGAACGACTGAAACATGCAAGAAGAAATCATTAGTCTCGTTAACACACGCACGCACACTTTTCGATCTTAATCCGCTTGTTAGCGAGCACCGACAATTTGCGTGCTCAAATCTAGACGTTCATCGCCAATTAAATGTGTTGCTGCGGCTTTTAATTACAACCAGGTGCAACTCGATAAAAAGGAATTGCAAATAGAAACGGAAACAGCGAAAGTGCACGAAATTAATTTAACAACAAAAAAAAAAACAACAACATAAAAACGTAGTGGAAAATGAGCCGGATCGAGATGAACGCACACAAACGCGCAGCTGACCTAATTCCCCCATTGCATGACGTCGAGTCAATCCACACCATTGGATTTCCTTTCAACCGGAAAATGTACATTTCATGCAAAAATCCACGAAAATAGAAACAGAAACATTGTTGAAAAATAACATAAATTATTGCAATGTATTATAAATAATGCAAACATATTAAATTTCATTAATTTTAAGCACAAGTAGAAAGAATTTTGTTAAATTATTATTAAAGAAAAAAATATTATTGTTTATTTCAAAATTTTAATTAGAAATAATTTATTTTTTTCCTCATCATAGGCTTTCAGATTTTTATTAAAACAAAATTCTGAGGTCTGTCCGCACGCATTCAAGTAAATCCACAAGCAGATTACCACTGTTTATATTCATCCTTGAATTATGCAGAACGCTAATTACCTTGAGCTGCTATATTCCTTTGCCCGAAAATCCGCGTTTAATTAAATCCAGACGCCGCTATTCTTAATTCCCTAATTAGCAAATCCCCCCAACCCACACATTCATAATGAATAACGATTTTTTGGAAAATCGAAGCAGAAATAAATATATATAAATAATGAAGAAAAAAAAAGGGCAACGGTAATAATGGTTACGGCATTAACGCAATTACGGAAGGAGCGGAAAAGGTACGTGCACGGAAATGCCAATATATTTTTAGGAAAGAGTGAGCAGCGAATGTGTAAGTGAAAAAGAGTGAGTGAGTTAGTGAGAGGAACGGACGTTGAATCCGTTATTGAATTGGTTTTCATTATGTTATATTGCCACGTCCGCATTTCCCATTCCGCAGACATTCCGGATTATTGTTACGTTGCGTTTTACTTTACGTGAAAAACATCTGCACAAAAAACGCATCCGTATTTTCGCCCAAGGAATAGTCGTCGCTTGCTTTTAACTCGGATCGTTGTTGTTACTTATTTTTGTTGTTTTCTTTTGCATCGAGTGTATAAATCAAATGTAACTGCACGATTTTTTGAAGATCAATTTTAAAGTTAGTTCAGAAACTGAATTTTCAATTTAAATTTTGCAATTCTCTCGTTTTTTTTTGTTTGTTTTTGTTTGTTGAATGTTGCAAGTTAGTTTAGTTGCATAACTTTTAGCAGTTGCATGTAACCGAGCTGCGTTCTCTTTATGAAATCAAATTGAATTCCCGGCTCCGGCTTGCTGCGATCCGAAGTTTGTTAAATAAATTAAAAATAGGCGTCGCAAACTCAATCAAGGCTCTATTGAGGAAGTGTATGAATCGGGGGAGAAGAGGGGGGTTTGATCAACAAACACGGTGAATTTCCGCTTTGATTAAAAGTTGCGTTAATTGCCACCGGCGGCAGCATAAATAAGAATTCCTTCCTTAATCTAGCCATCGCATGATCATCCTTTTTAATCGTCTGCAAAAGTTTCTCCCATGGTGATAAAACTTAAACATCCCGAAAAGCAATTAAAGTCGCATACACTACCCTTTCCACAACAAACCTCTTCCACACTGAAGAAGGATACACGAGAAAGTTTAATTAAAGCGCATTTAATGGGTTATTAAATATATTTCTCGCGCTCCTTTCCGCCTCGATTACGTTCTATTTATCAATGGGAACAAACAGAGTTTCAGCAAAAAAAAAATACAAATCAACAATGTAACAACGGGAGGCGAAAATATTGCGCTTTCAGCGTGTTATCAGTTTGATTAGTTATTTTTTTTTGTTGGGTTGCTGAAATATTGCGCGCCTCGCTTTGTCCATCATTTATTCACAATAACAGCGAACAAACAGCGGCGGAGCGAGAGAGTTTGTTACGTGCCCTTCTCTATCTCTCTCTATCTCACACATATTTTTTTCTCTCGCCATTTGTAAATTATTGTAGGAGATGGTGGATGCGCCGGGTTCATAAATATGCAGGAGGCTGCGCCGTTGCAGCCGATGATATGGATTACAACACCTCGTTTTCGTTGTTGTTCTTGTTGTTGTTGTTGCTGCTGCTGCTGTTGTTGTTGCATGCTAATAGTATTCTCCCGGTGTAGATGAAGGTGGACGAGGCCGTGCGCAAACTTGGTAATAAGTCCGGTTTTGCATCTAAATAGCGGCTCGCGACACAGCGTTATTAATTAATATTTATACGCTAATTTATCATTTCCACGGTGCACCTAATACCCCCAAAATCTTCACTAAATCATAAACCCCCCGTCGCCGGCCGCAGACATTGACACACAAACGCACAGTATTATATAATAATTTAGTTTCACCGTTCATTATTTCAAAAACTAGTTTAATTTACCTGAACTTAATATCGCTTTTCTTAGAAGAATTCAATTATACTTTTTTTTTTAAAGAAACAACGGTATTTTGTAATGCGCTACGAGGTTTTCGTTAATTAGCGGGAAGAAAGGTAGAGTTAAAAATCGCCCGCCGCCTGGAATGTAATTAAAAATCGGGGCGAAGGAACGCCGAGGTAATTAGAGTTATGAATTATTAAAGGTGTAGGACCATAAATATGCTTATAAAATTATAAATGCGAACAATTGGAGATGCGAAAGCTACCAAATTATGTTTGAATGATGAATGAAATAACTTTTGCGTTTATACAAAAGTTTGTACACGTTTAATCGCGATGTGTTTTTGGTTGATGTCGCGACCCCTCATTAAAATACACGGTTTAGGCCTAATCTTTCGCGGCCTATAAAACTATCCCCAATAACTGGATTACACGGGTACATCTAGACGTGACAAACATAGATTTCAATAAGAGGATTTATTGCGATGTAATCCGTGCCCTATGCGCGATATTTGCGTATTCAATTCGGGTTTGCAACACCCGTGCCTTCAAACCCACCCCATTCCCATCCACTTTTCGAACATTGCCACCTAACCACCCGCGCTCGCCGATCTGATTGATTTCGCGCCGCCCTCTGCAACCCACGCGACCCTTTCGTGTATCAACACGATGTATTTCGGTGTAAAAACATACGGCCTTTTCACATACACACACATAACGTCGACAACAAACACAAACTCACCCCAAAAACAAAAAAATAATCGAAAAACAAAATAAAACGCGCAACCCTTTCACGTAGTGAGTGTCCGGATTTTCCATTCACAATCGCGAACGCAAAATAATTAATGGAAATAAAAACACCCCACGGGCTCAGTGATAACGCATATAGTTTAAATCCTCCAACGCGCAAAAATACCCACAACCACACATACATATATATATATATATACAAAGAAGCCTTCTGTTTTATGCAGCATGCAAAATGAAAGCAACGTTTAGATTATTTTTTTACAAAACAAATTCAAACATTTGGAACTAAATCAAAATTCGAAAAAAAAAAAACAAATGAATTTCACTTGATTTTACATATTATACAAAAAAAAAGTCAAGTGGGCTGTCCAAACTTCATACGTCTTTTGACAGATTTGACAGAGTGTCAGCAGAAGTGAAATTGTTACATAAATTACGTCCAAGTTAAAGAAAACTATTGTTAAACTAATAAAAAGTCATGTGAGTAATTTATTTATTTAATTTTATAATAAGTAAATTGGAAATATTTTAAATCCTATTGATAATTCGAAATTTTAATTAATAATTTTGTATTTGAATGAAATTATTATACATTATTATACAAAAAAAAAGTCAAGTGGGCTGTCCAAACTTCATACGTCTTTTGACAGAGTGTCAGCAGAAGTGAAATTGTTACATAAATTACGTCCAAGTTAAAGACAACAATTGTTAAACTAATAAAAAGTCATGTAAGTAATTTATTTATTTAATTTTATAATAAGTAAATTTTAAATATTTTAAATCCAATTGATAATTCGAAATTTTAATTAATAATTTTGAATTTGATTAAAATTAGATTGAAGTAATAAAAAAAAGTTATATTTGAATGAAATTATTATACATTATTATACAAAAAAAAAGTCAAGTGGGCTGTCCAAACTTCATACGTCTTTTGAGAGATTTGACAGAGTGTCAGCAGAAGTGAAATTGTTACATAAATTACGTCCAAGTTAAAGAAAACAATTGTTAAACTAATAAAAAGTCATGTGAGTAATTTATTTTTTTAATTTTATAAGAAGTAAATTGGAAATATTTTAAATCCTATTGATAATTCGAAATTTTAATTAATAATTTTGAATTTGATTAAAATTAGATTGAAGTAATAAAAAAAAGTTATATTTGAATGAAATTGTGCAATTATGTAAGTGAACAAGAGCGAAACGTTTTAAACAATTGCATTGTGTGATGGGCTTTGAAGGGGCATAATCGAGGGGATGAGTTGCTGGTAAGATCATTCGAGCGGTCTCCGGGCGTTTAATCATCACGGCCAGCCCCGGCGTCCGGCGCAGATAGTTTCCGAAGATGAAAACCGCCTTCCGGCAGCTGTCACTTTGAATTTCCGGTTTCCTGTTTCCGGTATGCGCGGAGCGCCGGACATTCGCTAACGAAACGGGAATTTCGCGCGCGCGAATTTCGAGTGTGGAGCGAGAGAGAGAGAAAGCATCGACATTTTTGCTTACGCAATTATAAATTTCGAAATTTTAATTGAATTTCCAACGTCGTTCCGATTATACTGTTTGTTGTTGAGCAAATAAATAAATAAATGTGTATGTATATATGGAAATAACAGCGTTAATTAAATAATGAATCCCTAATGAAATGGGGGAACGATCGCGTAATGAAATGAGCGCGATTTAATTAAGGTAATTGATCAATCGTTATTAATACACACTACTACTGCACGCTGCCTCGAATATAGCTATGCTTTCTCTCATATACTTGCACGCACTGCTTCATCTTCAATATTTGCATAAAACCTCCTCTGGTTTCCGTCGTGATGAAATCGCCGTATTTGCCGTGCAATTGTGGAATAAGTTTCGACCGAAGATTTCTGCTTCTTGTTTTCCATCTGAAGATCTGTTTATTCTTCGAACAAAGTGTTCTCTCTCTCTACATCGTTATGGAAATGCATTTGGAAATTAGTTTACGTCGCTTTCAGCGTAAATCGCCCGAGAAGACGAATTAAATATGTATGCAGATGCGATGCTAATAGTAATAGTGGAGGCAATTCGGTTCAGCCCGTTCCAATTCTATTTAGACCTTTCCCCCCTCTATTCAAACCCCGAATCGATTTAGTCCAGAAATCGAGAAATAACATCGTTTCCGACTCAATAGAATCGTTTTCCTTTATAGGTCATGATACTTTGGGTTAGGTTAGGTCAAATCATGTTCATCTATTAACCCTTTTCTAGTTCAGTATTAACACATTTCCAATTTTTTTTTATGTTTTTTATATTAGAAAATGATGAAAAAATACTTTAAGAGTATGATTAACGCAATTGAAAGAAAATTTTCGTGTACCAAATGTAAAAAGCCATGTTTTATCAAAACACTAAATTCAGATTGTTTTCAAAATTATAAAAGTAGTGTCACTAAAATCACTGTAACTTGTGAACTAAACGTCAGTTTTTTTTATGTTTTTATATTAGAAAATGATTAAAAAATACTTTAAGAGTATGATTAACGCAATAGAAAGTAAATTTTCGTGTACCAAATGTAAAAAGCCATGTTTTATCAAAACACTAAATTCAGATTGTTTTCAAAATTATAAAAGTAGTGTCACTAAAATCACTGTAACTTGTGAACTAAACGTCAGTTTTTTTTATGTTTTTATATTAGAAAATGATAAAAAATACTTTAAGAGTATGATTAACGCAATAGAAAGTAAGTTTTCGTGTACCAAATGTAAAAAGCCATGTTTTATCAAAACACTAAATTCAGATTTTTCCATTGTTTTCAAAATTATAAAAGTAGCGTCAATAAAATCACTGTAACTTGTGAACTAAACGTCAGATTGCCATGAAATTTTGACAGATGTCGTGTGAAGGTTGGTACTTCCTAAAAATGATATGGATTTGTTGCCATCTATATGTCATTCTACGAACTTATTGAGTGAAGATTTAGATTTTTCTTTAATTAATTTTATGATAAAAAATTCATTTATTATAATTTTTGAAGAATGAGAGTATTTCGCGAAATATTTGCATTAAATATGAATTTAAATTAAAAATTTTAGATATTTTGTGAAAATATTTTGATCATTCACTAAATATAGAATTTGAAATTTAAAAATATATTTATTATTTGTTATATATTTATTATGGTATACGTTATTAACGAAAAAGAAGTGCTTACACATGACATCCAAACGAACTTCAACTCCACTGGATTTGGTCGGATAAGATTCGTGAACGGCGACGCATCTGAGGGTTCTTCCATGATTCTCCTTGGAGATGGTTAACTCGAGGATGGAGGTCGCAAGCCAGGTTCTCGGGTTATCCAGTTCGGTGCTGTTGCTCTGCCTCCTCGTAGGAGTGATCTCATTTTGATCTGGGAAAGAAAAAAATTTCAATTCACGTTCGCATAAAAGGGCGCATCGTAACGTTCGTTATCCGCCGGACTCCGGCGCGCCATACGCTGCACTCGTAACTCTCCTTCATACAGCGCAAAATTGAACATCTTTTTATAGTTTATCGCGAAAGAAAAAGCAATTTAACCTTCGAGATATTACGTATCTATTTTTCCATTGTTTAAATTGCAATTTGTGCAAAATTGAATTAGAATTTGGTATGAGAGAGTTTCGTTTTGGTGGATGCGTCGACATTAATTCGTATTTTGGGGTAATATAAAATGCTTTCAGATAATTTTATCCGTTTGAATATAAAGGGACTACGTTTCTTTGAGTGAAAAAGAAAAGGTTGAAGGGAAATGGGAGATCCCTTACCAAGAAACCATTTGAGAACCGGAGGTGGATTTCCGTAGTGCGAAATGCACTTGATAACGCCGACTTCTCCGTGAAGGGCGGTCAGATTGTGTCCGGGCAGGACCTGGGTCGCATTGTACTCGATCCTCGGGGTCTGCGGTTGAACTGAAACCAAGGAAGAAAAACAATGACTTAACATTTAAACGGAAAGAAAAGAAAAGAAAACGTTTCAAAGACTTAATCAATTTCCTGTACGTGCTGTTTACTTAATCAAAACGTCATCGTTGCACATACACACACACAAATAGAAAGAAAGTGTGTAAAAGATTATGAGTGAGCGAGAGAGAATGATCACACGATATTAATTAATAATCTTTCGGCCATTTAAAAGGTGATTAATTATTTGCGAAATTAATTGAGCAACGTTTCCTCTTTCGCGAGAGTATAAATTTATATACGCGGCGAAAGAGATTAATGGGATCAAATAAATATAGCGAAAAAGGAGCGAGAGAGAGAGATGAAGAAGGGTGAAAAAAGGGAAGAGTGAAAAGAGAAAAGGATTTGATTAATAAGTCCTGATTGTGCCTGCCCCCTTTTTCGGAGCGTCGAGTGCAAGAGATGGCGAGCGAGGAAGGACGAAATGAAGAGAAGAAGCAGGAAGGAAAGTGTGTAAAGGAAAGAGACAGCATGAAAAATAAAAAAGGGAAATATATTTATAAAAGCCCAGGAGAAAATAATGCGTCAGCCGCAGCGAGCTTTAATGAAATATTTTATAACTCGCGATGCCAACATGTTCCGCAAATTATCTTTATCCTGGGATTGGAGAGGATCAAAAGAAAAACATCACTGTCCATACAAATTAGAAAGTAAAATAATTACTTTCAAAGGAAAAGAAAACAGATAAATTTCATGATATAAATAAAATATTTTAAAATAAGAGTTTACATTAATAATTTCTAAAATTTGTTATATGTTAGATTATTAGATAATGTATATAAGAAAAATAAAGTTATTACTGTATATAACAAAACGTGATTTTTACGAATTTGTAGTAATTTTAAAAAATAAAAATTATAAATATAAAATTAAGAAAATGTGTGTTTTTTTTTAAACTTGAATTCTAATTGAAATGCAATGGTTTTAAATTTTCTATTCAAAATATAAGAGTTGAGAATAAAATTAATATATTATTATTATTGTAGTAACTTTGACAGTTTTCGCATTAATCTCTGTCCAATATAAAACTATGAAAATTTTATTTTCGCAAAACGTGAATGTATAAAATGAAATATATTAAACAATCATCGTGTATGTTCGAACAATAAAATTTCATGTGCAAATTCAGTCGAAAACTTGCATCTATTTATCAAGTCTTAGAAAAAGAGAGAGAATAAAAAAGGAATAGAAGTATGGAATACATTTTTCTTTCGCCCGAGAGCTCGAACTCACCGCGAAACAAGTTTAGTTATATAATGCAACACAACACTCGCATACACACACACAGATACGTAAGAGTTATATTTTCGTCCGGCAAGTTTCGCGGAACGCAATTTATCAACGTTGAGGGCAATATTAAAAGAAGAGCTGGTAACGTACAATGGCGTAAAAAGGGTCGGATGGAAGCAAGTTTTCGCCGCAAATAAAATTCGCCTCATTATTTTCGGGCTCTCCACCCCCCATCCCCCCATTCCACCATCCTCGGTGAAAGGAAGCCGAAACTTGTCCGAAACTACCCAACAACAAAGCCCAATGAAAATGTATAAATCAAGTGTTCATCATAATCATGACCCGCATTGTTGTTGTTCTGTCCGAAATCCCCATTGGGAGGAGCAGAAGAAGAGGAGTATATGGCGCAACTTTCCAGACTTTCCTGTTTTGTTGTTGGAGCAAATTTATCGGCATTCAGCGTGTATTCTACGTGGAAATCACGAGTAATTCTATTTGATGTGGTTGACACCAAAAACTAATTTACAAATGTGTTACTTTCTACCATTTCAATATGTAATTGCAATTAGATTGCAGACTATGAGCGAACAAATTTATGTTAGTTACGGGAAGAATAAAACCGAGAGGAAACAGGTAATTCATTGGATCGTGCCGGGAATAAACGCGTTCAACGGTGGAGCAATAAACAATCGTGGATAGAATGTATGTATAATGCGGTATATATTATTGGTGAAGGGCGAATTTAATCCGACATTATTATATGAATTTTAAAAGGTGAGATGCGAGATTAAATTCTCAATTCCGTTTTCGCTTCTCGTCCTTCCAACTCCCGGAGTTATGCTCCTTTAAACTCGCAACCTTAATGTGCACTTAATTAAAACTTGGAGACGTTCCACACATTGCCCTCTCTCGTCAAACGGAATTCATCAGTTTCGAATGCAGCTTTTCCGTCCAATTAGTAAACACGAGCGAACCTCTTTTTTTTCTCTCCGCACTTCCTCTTTTCGAATTCTTGGGATTTTAATGAGACCTAATGACATTCCGCATCCATCCTTCAAGTCTGAACTCAACCGTAAAAGATGGAATGCAGTAAATGTGTAACATACTGATTTTTATGCATGGAAAGAAATGCGATTCCGATTAAAAGTTTGAAATATTATTAGTCTGTCGATATCAAATTTCGCATGCCTCGGGTGGTCGGAAGACGAAGGAGAATGAGACTGTAAGGAAAGTGGAAGAGGAGGAGGAAGATGAGGAGGATGTGCTGCTTCAGCGAAACTTGTGGAGAAGTTTAAATGTGTATCTCGAGAGTCCCGTCCCTTTAAAGCGGATCAAATGTTGTGAACTGCATTTTGCGATGCTTCCGTGGATTAGAACCTAGTCTGCTCCATTGCACGATTAATTTGAAGCTAATTCATGTAAAATTAGGACTACAATCAAAATTATAATGTTTTAATTGTATTTAATTATGAAATTTAACAGTTTCTCTTATTATTTCTAGTTAGAAAAAAGTACAAAACTTGAATATACAAGTAACATTTCTATATGGAACGAATATATCAATAATATTTGAAGGTAACACGAATGCAGCAAAACACACAATATTTTGCTAAAATATATAAATTTTTTATTATTAAATTTTGTGAGTTATTGCGAAAGTTGGGAAGGCGAAACAGGTCGTGTGCGTTCCTTATTCCTTCCCACTTTTATCTTTATTTCGATGCCATAAATGGAAACCCGTTCAATTCTCAGAGTGCTCCGCACGCAATCCAATATGTGGCCTTATTTATTGTGCATCTTTCGTTCAATTCAGACGCCCCCAACCCCAACATTCAGAATGTGGCGAAGGAGGGACAAATCGAAACCGTATTTGACTAAAATCATAATACAATGCTGCCGCCTTGCCTCCCTCCAAACCAAGGCATTACTACCCCGAATTGCTCGGAGCCACTTCAGACCACTTCAAAATGTGTACAATGATATTGCTACATATGCGGAAGCTCTGAGTGCTTCTTCGCACAAACATTCTGCAGTAATTGCGCGGAAATAAAGAAACTTTAGTTTTATCTATGGAAGAGCATGCAGCACACCTTGCTGCAACTTCTGATTTTTAAATGAAAGTGGACTCTGTCTGTTTTGATTAGAAGTTTCTCGATGGCGTTGGTGGTGGAGGGGCTTTAATAAATACTGAGGGATTGTTTCGTAAAGAGAGGGGTGAAACTGAAAACAAGTTATTGCCGCCTTTAGGTGTATCAGTGTTCGGTTGAGTTCAGTTCAGTTGTCACTGGAATTGAGGAAATTAACTAAGTTACTTCTGAATCTGAGGCTGTGCTGCTCCATCCAGATCGAACTTGTGTGCATTGCATCCCGTTTATTATACTTATTGCGTCGTGAGCGCAAACTTAACGCCAGACACACTCTCTGTCTCTCTCTCCCTCGGCATCGATTGCAAGAGATCAAATGCAAATTAAACTGGATTCTAAGCAAATCTACGACCTATCCCACGAGTGTACTGAAAGCTGGAATATTGTATGAGAGCGAAAACGAGAGAGAGAGAGACGCTTTTTCAATCCGGTTTAATATTAAAGTTGGAATTTGTGTCAACGCCAGACGCAATTTCCACCGGCGGAAAATTAGTTTAAAACGTCATAATTAGTGTAAGTTTAACAAGTTTAGTTTCCTATTATCGCATTAACTGCCGACCGGGGAAACGCACCGTGGAAAGTTTAACGAATTACCACTTCTCTTCACTCTCCTTCTCACACAACCATTGCGAACACGAGAAGATTTTCGCTTAGTTCAGTTCTAGTTGCGAGATGTAAAACATACTGAAGAATTCAATTATATAGTTGTTGTTTTTTTGCGGGAAACCTCGCATACTTGTATTATATATGTATAAATTTTGCGCGTATTGCAGCAGCAGCAGCAAAATAGTTTTGGAGCGTTGTGGTGGGTGGTTGTGTTTATTAAATTACGGCCTTCGAACGAGATGCAATCTTATAATTAGTTTAATACAACTTCAGATTCCGTCTTATTATATTAGCGCTGACAAGCCGAGCCCGGTGGGAAACTTTAATGAATTACTGACAAAGGTTTCATAGAACGCAGTACGAACAAAAGCTTCTGCTGCACGCCCCACCACATGTAACATGATTTCTTTTATAGTTTGAAAATCTTTGATAGCTACGAAAATGATACGCTTTAATTAATGCAACTTTTCAATGAAAGTTTTATTTAATTAATCGATATAATATATATAAATTTTGAAGTAATTTAAGCGAAATATTAAGAGAGAACATTTTTTTTTTAATTATTTTCATTTGTTAAAAAAAAGTTGAATTTAATTAATTATTTATTACTCTCTCTTTCAATTAAAGTTTGATTTAATTAATCAATATTTATATTAAAGTTTTGAAGTAATTTAAGCGAAATATTAAGAGAGAACATTTTTTTTTAAATTATTTTCATTTGTAAAAAAAAGTTTATTTAATTTAATTAATTATTTATTACCGGAATTTTTATATAATGATTTAAATTATAAAGAGACGTGCAATTGAATACAAATTTATAAGAAACTTCATTTTAATGTGTTTTGAAATAAATTTAAAGAAAAAAAATATTTTTTATCCACCGCAAATCACATTTTTTTTTAATGTGAAAGTAACAGTGAAAGTTCACCTTCCAACATCTATAGAAGTTTTGTTAAGGATAAAAGATAGCAAGATATATAGACTAATTTAAAATTTTATTAAA